ATACATTAGCAGTTACGTAGAATTATGTTTTGGGTATCAAATTCAGAAATTTTTGGGCTGTTTTTAGAAGATTTATTAATGATTTATACGATATTAATATTGGTAAAAAAATTCTGTGGCTTTTATATGAGAGCATATATTTTAAAATAGCTGCATGATATGGTAGAGGTAAAAAGCTTCATGTGGATCATAAATTAATATTACGTGGGAATTTTTCATTTATTTAATAAAGAAAATATTCAAGCCACAATTAAAATTTTTTTCACTGGATTATTTGCATACAAAGTTTGCAGCAAATATTTCCTGCAACAGAAGTGACAATTTTTATTTTGCCAAGACAGGAAATTTAGTTAGTGAAAGCAGTAACCCTATTTTGAGATGTTAAATAGGAAGGCAAATTTTTGAATTTAAATTGATTTTTGAAGGAATACTTCATTTAGTCTTGCTATCATTCTACGTGGCTTTTAACTTTTTTATGGTATTTATAATTTTATTGTTATTCAGCTTTCTGTTTGCTTAGAATGCACATGAATGTAGACTTAAAATATTTTATATTGCAAACTGAGATGCCATTGTTATCATAATTAAAGATTTGTGTTCTGATTCTGGAGGAATTTACTGATAATACTTTTGATTGTGTATTGGTTTCTGGTTTATTGAAATGTGTAAAATAGCCTGTTAATGCATATACGTATGTTTATGAAGTATTCTGTTATATGTATATGGTGTTGTGATTAGTTTTCTGCTTACTCTTTATTTAAGAAAAAGTTATCTGTAAGAAAGCGAATATTCTTTACTATATGTAGGAGTAAAATTGAAAAGGCTAATGCAATATAATTAATACAAAATTAAGTTTTTTCTCATGTACTTAAATACAAACATAGCCATTAAAGACTTTCTTAACCTTGCAGTTCTAAAACAAATCTTTAGGTATATTTTTTACTTGAAATTATAGGCATTGTGTAAGGTATATAATTGAAGTTTACTGTGTGATAGTATGAAATTAAATTTTTAATTACTGAAATGTAAATTTTTAAATATGAAATACTCAGTGCATTTTATATGCATCTTTTAATACTTCAACTATGGGCATTTTAAAACTGAAAACATCTGAAGTGTGTGAAATTATTACAAATTTTTCTTTTTCTTGTTTAGGAGCTGTTCTCAAAACATTGGGTGACAAAGAATTCACTTTTACAAAAATCGAGCAGGATATTAAAAGAATTAAAACAGCGAAATATAGAACAAATATGGCGTTAGCCGAAGCTGAATGAAATCTATGTTGAATTTTATTATTGAACAAATTATGCTTTTCAGATTTAATGTTAGTTTTTATTGTTTAACAGTAATTGCAGTTTTTAAATACCTGTAAAATAAACCTAATTCTTAAATTAATTTCATGTGTATTTCTTTTGCAAGTATTACAGTTCATAATACTTCAAACAACTTGAAATTTGATACTTGCTAATTTATGTGGGATATGTTCATATTAATTTTATAATTTCAATAACTCATTGTCATCGTATGAGCGTAATCTTAAATGCTTAATTAATAAAAAATTAGCCAACTTCTAATTGCTTTCTTTTGTTCAATTGCATCCTTTTAAATCATTTAATAGCATAAAGCTATTTGATGAAAAAAATAATTGGTATGTCCCCATCAACACATTTATAATGATGTTAGAAAAAAAGTCACATGAGATAAATATTTAAAAAATTCAATATTCCTAAACAAATTAACTTTTTTTTTATTTGGTATATAAGATAAAATAAGAAAAAATAAAGAACATATTTAGGTAATTTTGAATTTGCATAATTTTATGAACTTATTTATGAAATTAACAGTTACATTGTAAAAGGGAACTTTTTAAAAATGCCTCAATAAAGCATTTCTTTTGTAGAGGTGAACTTTTAGTACTGATCTAATATATTTATAAGATTTTAAACTGAGAAAGAGAAAGACAACAATAATAGATTACAATACATTGCAAGATTGACTGATAAATGTAAAATTTTTACATATCATAATATGTGTGTAATTAAAACAGAAGTTACTCGATTAACTTGCATGAAAATTAATTAATATTTTCTTTAACATGTTTTTTTGATAAACTTAATAAATAAATATGTATATATTTGTGTATTATCTGAAGATATGAATGAAATATTTGTGACATTAAACATTCATCTTCAAGGAAAATACGCAAAAAGTCAACTTGGTAAACTATTGGAAAAGGTAAGTTTTTCTACAATTTCCTGATCTATATTTAACAATTTTAAAATTTAGCACACTATGATGTTTTCTTTTGCGCTACAGTCGTTTACAGAATTTGGTAATTAACTATATTGTACTTTAGATAGAAATTAACGTAGATATTCCCTGTATTTTACGGTACAAAAACTTATATATTTGATAATAATTGACCTAAATCTTCCCTATGTTTTCTTTGCATATGCGAATGACTTTGGTAAAAATTTAGTCCAATGTCTTCTCTTTACTGTGTATAAGTGCACATTTTTGGATAAATCTCCAATTACCTTTTTACCGCATTTTTCGTAAAATGTGCTTATTTTAATCTCATATTTTTTATATAAATCTATGCAAAAATGTTCTGCATATTATGATTAAAAGATAAAATGTAATTTGATATCAAATTTTTACATATCCACCTTTTAGGTATGTACAGCAATATGGAATATATATAACTGGAAAATTTAAATGCAAAAAAAAATTAATTTCTATTAAAAAATTACGTAACACTTAAAGGCTGAAAATCACTTTTAATATTTCATTTCAAAGTGACTACAAAATATGCAATAAACTTTGTAAACCTGAATTCTATGTTTTAAATCAATTAATGCTATCGTTCATTTTCATGGCATAAAAAAATGTCCTTCGGAAAAGCAAATAATTTATTTAAAGTGTTATTTAGCAATAATGAAATGAATTTAGTAAACAACTGTTTGCTACAGCTGTTTACTAAATTTAAATTTATGAAATGAATTTAGTAAACAAAAATGTAAATGAACAATAGCATTAATTGACTTAAAACATAGAATTGATGTTTACAAAATTTATTGCATATTTTGTAGTCACTTTTGAAATGAAATATTAAAAGTGATTTTCAGCCTTTAAGTGTTACGTAATTTTTTAATAGAATTATTTTTTTTTTTTTTTTCATTTACTAGTGCATTTAAATTTTCCAGCGTTATATATATTCCATATTGCTGTACATACCTAAAAGGCAGATATGTAAAAATTTGATATAAAAATGACATTTTACCTTTTAATCATAATATGCAGAACATTTTTGCATGGATTGGAAAAATGTTCATATTTTTTGCATAGATTCATATTTTTTGTTTTGCAAAAAATATGAGATAAAAATATTTTTTGATAAAAAATGAGAAATTTCTTAAGTACATTTTACGAAAAATGCAGTAAAAAGGTAATTAGAGATTTATGCAAATTTTTTACCAGAAATGTGCATTTATACGCAGTAAAGCGGAGAATACATCAGATTAAATTTTTACCAGTCATTCGCATATGCAAAGAAAACATGGGGAAGATTTAGGTCAATTACTATCACATATATGCGTTTTTGTACCATAAAATACGGGAAATATATATGCTAATTTCTATCAAATATATACGTTTTAGTACCGTAAAATACAGTGAATATCTTCCTTAATTTTTACCTAATATATACGTTTATATACAGTAAAAAATCGGGGAGATTTACGTAAATTTTACTAAATATACATAAATTTTTACTAAAAATATATGTAAATCCCAGAAATTTACGTATATTATACGTGAAAGTTGCGAATGAACAGCAGTCTCTCGCGTAAATATACCTAAATTTTACGTAAATCTTACGTATATTATAACATAAAAATATACGTAAATATTTAGTAATTGCTTTCACTGGACACTTTTTATGATATTTTTATGTTTAACTTGAACGTTTTTTATACGAAAGGCCATTCGTAAATTGCACGTATTTTTCTCGTGCAATTTACGAATGCATGCTGCTTGGGATGGAATTGACAGAATTTTGGGTTTTAATAAAAGAATAATATCTCCTTCTAAGTGGCTCAGTGGATTTTAATTCTACTTTCAATAATAAAAAGCAAGTATAGAGCAAAAATGAGTTTGGAAAAAGACATGAGGGTAGTCGCCATGTCCAATTCTATGATTTGAGAAAATGAGCAGTGATTTGCAGGCTTATCCATCATATTAATTATTAATTTGATGTTAATAAAGTAAAAAAAAAGTTAAATAATGATGATAGACAAGTTTTAGTTATTTTTAAATATTACTTATTACTAGTCATGCTTTTACTTAAGGCACCATGGAAAATTTTTAAATGAAAAGACACCGCGACTCGAAAGAGTTTGAGAACCACTGGCTTAGGAAATTTATGAAATTTGAACGATTTTCTAAAGCTTCCTTTACATTTGTTTACAGTCTTCTTTAAAAAGTGCAATTTATTGCTTTGCATAATAGCCATGGGTAACAAACAGTTCACATGAATACTTATTCCTTAAATTTAAATTCTAAACATCAGACTAATAATTTTTCATATTTGTCATACCTATTAGTTAAATCATAAACATACTTTAAGACATTATTCTAAGTACTTCATAGTTTAAAACATCATACAACAACTAAGAATCCATACAGTTATAGTTGCCATTAAATGTATTTCACATATTTTGTGTATCAGATCTCTTTCTCATCCTATTTACAATGCTACACTTAATATGCCATGAAATTCTTAATTTTTCCGCATATTAGTTTGTCACAACAGTTTTTTTCCTGTATGCTTCCTTTACATTTGTTCTGGTAATGCAAATGCCAAAGAATATCTCAAAAGACATAAACATTTCAACAATTATTTATAAGCCCTTTTAATAAAATACAAGAAACTAGAAGTGTAACACCTAGAAAGTATAATAGAAACACAAAAAAGACTGGAGAAAAGGGTGAAATTAATGTTTTAATTTCTAGTGCAGTAGATCTGCAAATTAGTTCCTGGAAAATTATAAGAAGTGGCATCAGTCAGCCAAATGTGCTACATATTCTCCACTGTCATAAGTTCCAACCCTTTAATCTCTCTGTCTCTATAAAAAATTACATGGAAATGATTAAGTAAATCATGTTAATATTTTCTGCATAGATGTTAAGACATAATGCACATATTTGCCATGCATCTTTTTTAATGATGAAGCAAATTTTACGAATCACAGCCACATAAACTGCAGAAACATGAACTAACGGTCTATAAATAATTTTCTTTGGCTTCGTCAAGTGGAACATAAGTGTTAATCGAGGGTAAACGGGTGATGTAAAATAATTAATCATCATCTCTTAGTCTCTTTGCACATAGGTGGAACAATGGATCCCAATAAGTATGTTAACCTGGTAACAGATGAATTTCTACAGATGTTAGAAGATCTCCCACTACCACAGGCTTCTTCAAGTCTGTAGTATTAGCAAGATGGTTGCCCAGTACATGATGCAAGATGTACTACGGCCTGTCTTTACTGTTTGTTTCGAGATCATTGGTTTGTGCAAAACGGGCCTATTAGCTATTATCTGATGGCCATTGAGAATCAGATTTGACTCCTTATATTTTGACCTCTCACATAACACTCATATGTTTTAGCAATTAAATCAATTTAAATAACTTTATCAGTTTGTGAGACAACAAAGCCCTAAATATGCATTAAATAAATAAATAAATATGTAATTGTTTATTGTTATCAAATATGAGTATTTTCTACAAAATTTAATTTTTAAACAAAATTTCTTTCATTTATATGTGCTTTGTATGTAAGTGTTAATTTAGTGTTAAGCAATATGCCATTTCAATTCTTACTTAGATATAAATTTTATTCAGCTTTTTTGTTGAATATCAGTTTTATTTGTTGATTCCCATTTTCTGATTCTTAATGATTCAATTTAACTGAATGTTGGCCTGAAATATTAGGAAGTCTCAATTTCTAATTCTTCTTTAAATCTGTGATAAGACTTTCAGTATTAAATTTTATAAACATACCTTACAGTTTGAAAAATGTTTTTTCAAGGAATGGAGCATGGTTTTAAAAATTTTAGGAAATAACTCTTTTTAGGGAAAAAGTACAATAGTTATCTATATTCCAAAATAACAAATTATCATGCATAATTTAATTCTTACATTTACACAATGTGATTCACTTAAGCATATGCACAAACCTCAGGGTGAAGTAGGTTACTCCAAGGCGATTGAGAATTACATAGCAATGTAGTGATGGAAATGCAATCCTCATATGCTAGAGTGCAGAGAAAACATAAGAGAGGGTGATGTAAATAATTATATTTTAATGAGCAAACTGATATAGTTGTGATATTCAGATGCCACAGCAAATGTTCAAAATTACAGCTGCAAGCATGACACTGGTACAACATGGAATCTTGTACGTTTTGAAATGTACCAGGAGTCTCACTGACGATCACGCTAGCTATGCTAATGCATGCGATAAGATCTTCCTCATTCACCACATGTGTTTCCTATACAAGGCTTTTCAGGTAATCCCAGGGAACAAAATCTACGCATGTCTGGCAAACATGCAGGCCAATGAGCAGGACCACCGAAACCAATCTACCTTTCACCAAATGTTGAATTTAAATGCTGCCAAATGAAAACAGTAAAATGGGCTGGGATGCCATCATGCTGGAATCACAAATCATTGTGTCATAGCTGCAGGATGCTTTGAACACTTAACAGCCCACACAAGACTATCTCCAAGAAAATCTTATAAGACCATCCATCCAAACGAACAGGCATGAGATATGGGCCTTTTGGGTTGTTGCCAACCATGCTCGCCTAAACACCAATTGGAAAAAGATGTTATGCTGCCTGTGCTTGAATACTCTTGGGATTGTCCAGTGCCCATGCATGTGTGTTATGTGCATTGTAGCCACCTTCTCTGCTAAACTACACCGTGTCAATGAATATAACTACAGACGAAAAATGGGATTCCGTCACACACTTCTGCTTGCACCATTCAGTATATGCCACTCGTTGTGCATTACCAGCAGGAAGCAGTTGCTGTATACCCTCCTCATGGTATGGATACAATTAGTCTGAGTGCACGATTCTTCAAACGATAGCTTGAGAAATGAGGATTGCAGCAATCCCTTATGTGTTCACACATGAAATCCTTTCTGCATAACAGAGTATCATTCATTCCTTCTACTTCAAAGACCTGTATCATTCATTTCAGTTCCTTTGAGTTTTCCCAAAAGATTCTGTACAGCACAAATTTGGATGCAGCCATGCAAACATCTGGTGATTCAGAATCCACCTATTTGAACACAACTCACTGTACATGTGCACAGAGGCTTGCCCATTACAAATGGTTACTCCATATGCTAGTTGCATATCTACTAACTCGAAATTACTGTAACCTTTCATTCTACTTCTGCGCTTGATTATCGAATGATGAATTTCAGGCATGGAGGTTTTATCTGTTTTACAAAAACACCCTCTAACAAGCTACACATGTGCTTCTACCCATACATTGCTATGTATTTCCAAAATGTCTTTGAGTAAGTTACCCCTCCCAAAAATTTGCACATGCTTAAAAAAACATTCTTGTATACATAATAATAATATATTACTCACTAAATGCTCCAATTTTTTACGCCTGAGTGGTGGTTGCTCCTGAAGAACAGAATCAGCCAAGACAGTCAAAGTTGATTCTACTGCTGCTAATACTTCTTCTAAAGGTTTTAAATTGCTATCACCTGCATTAGCAATAGCATGTAATGCACTTTCAACATCTTCTGACCATGAAATCTGTGCAGCTAAAACAACTATTTGAGACTAAAAAAAGAGGGGAAAGTACAGATTTTATGTATATATAATAAATACATAGATACAAATAAATTGTTTATATTTTTAAAACGAGTCTGAATATATATCTATAGATGCCACAGTTATCTTAAATTTATTTTATACATGATGGAATATAATAATACACTTAGAATTAATTGTAAGACGTAATGATTGCATAAATACTACATTATAATACTAAAAGGAGGAGGTGATATATATATTTAGACACTGAATATTAGTTTGGTAATAAATTCAATTTAATTAACGAAGCTAAATTCATCTCACGATAACGTTGGCCCCTTTGTATACACTGTGTATTCCTTACAAATTTCACTTAAAATAACAATATTTAAGAAATATAGTACCAAAATAATGCAGAATTTTGACATCGAAATAAATTTACTAAATCAACAATAAGGCAAATAAAGGATTAAACTGTTATGATTACTGAATTAGTAATTTGCCAGCAGTGAAACCATATTAATAATAAAACAGTAACTTATAAGCATTTATGTGTGTGTATCAAAATTAATAATTTCTTCCAATTTCTCTCCTCAGCATATGCATTGTGTTCTTAAACTTTACTTATAAATATATCATAATTATAAGAATCCCCAGCTTTCAACAGAGTCCATTAAAAAAATGTTTATGATTTATTATTTTTTATGAATTTTTATGATTCAATTTATTTTTTTAAAATATTTATATACAAATATTTTAATGCTTCTAAACCAGCCTTCGAGATTAAAAGTGACTGGGCCTGAACTTTCTCACATCATCTCTAAATAAACCAACTGAAACCAACACACAATAAATATCCACCAATTCGAATTTTTTCTGTGGAGGTATCTTTATTAAACAGCATGATTACTAATGATTTCCAATACCTATCTTTATATTTTCAGAAATATTGGTACTTTTTGAAGATGATTATTTATAGCAAGTGGACACAATGAGATATTTAAATGTATATACATGCTACTTTTATGCAAGAATTCCTGAAAAGATAGCTGCGGATATTATTTTTTAATTGCCATTGATCATTTTTGAAATTTCAGTGAATTAATTTCATGCTTTGAAAGTTAATATAAAAATTGAAATTATGAAAATAAAATGGTAGTGCATTTTTCCATTCACTTTCTGCTATATAAGTAAATTAACTCAGAATTTTAAGAATTTTTCTCTTATTAACTCTTAGAAGAATATTTTCATTCTAATTTTAACATTTAAAAAATACTAACACTTCAGAAATAACATAAATCAGGAAAATAACCCCTTGTAGCCTATAATGAATATGAATGAATAAGATCCTGAAAAATATTTAATCACAAACATTTTTCATTTAAAAATCAAAATTTTTATACTTACAACAACTGATTTTAAAAATTTGATACAATTACATAATGAAGTACAGCCAAGACTATGTCATGTCAAAAACTGCGATGACAGTCAAAAACTGTCATGTCAAAAACTGCGATTTTATGAGACATTGAAATCAAAAATAGTAACCGAATTTTTAATCTATATTTAAAATTAATTTATTAAAAATCCTAAAACTGTCGCTTCTTTGCACAAACCTATATAATCTACATCAATATACTATATTCACACACACAAAGTGCTTTCCTGTTCTTTTTGCATGTGCATCGAATATGTAAAGATTTAACATGCTTTTGAAACTTCACACACATCACGTATTCTTCATAAATTAGGTGAATTATTTGGTTACATAGGTTTCCACAACAAAAAAGTCTAAAATTTTGTGAATGAAATTCTGCTAATTTATTTTTTAAAAAAATGCAATATTACCTGATAGTCATCTACCCAACTCATGTATGCCTTCTGATCGATGGATCCACCTTTAAATGGACCAATGTTTGAAACTGCAGATGCCAAAAGAGTTGCTAAAGTCATCCTCATTTCTTTTTCAACTAAAGTTAGCCATTCATTAATTTTAGGGTGCTCTTTTATTGATACTCGGTTTGTAAATATAACCTGAAAAATATGCCTTAAATGTCAAAATAGTGAGAAAATAAATATTACCAAATGGAAAAATATAAGTATATATTAAACTAAATTACTTATAAGCTCATAAAATACAAATACAGAAAGCAAAATAGCATGTATCGGTTTAAAGAATATTATTATAATAACTAAAACATCTGTACTTTAAATTAGTAATTCAAGACTACAGAATAAAGTAAGAATAATATAATGTTTAAAAGCAGATTTACAGCCTTTGAATAAAAGTTTTTCAACTACGAATTTCAACCATTTTAGTTTTCATGTTCTTCACTTTTCATATGAATCGAGTAGAAGTAGTACAGATGAAATGCTGGGGAACTTTCAAATAGATTAGCGTTACAGCATACTTGCGAAATTTAATGTTCAGCCAAAAATTTAAATTACAAATATATTTATACTTTTTTTTCAAAAATTATAAAACCATGCATACTTGACTGTTATTCAGTAACTGGAACTACGATAGCCACCAAGATAACTTAGGCAGATGATCTGCGTATCAATTACCTCAATTTCTGAGAAATAATTCTAGCAGTGATCTGGCTAACTTATTTTTACTTATTATCTTTGATAAATAATCTTATGCAATTTAAATTTTAAATAATCTTATGCATCTTATGCAATTTAATAACCAAACTATAAGAAAAATGTAGTTCATCACGGAATACACTGTTTCATTGCTCTGCATTTTGAGCTCATCATTTCTTGGCATGTAACTTCATATTTTATCTAATGGTTTATTGCAAAAATTTAGGAATATTACTGATTGCAAGTAATTGATTCTTATGCTACATAAAGTTTAAGGACATGATATTTATTGGTAAACAGATATTTATTATGTTATAAATTAGTGCCACCTACCATAGCTCCAACTTTCAGATAATCCACAAGTATCAAAACTTAAAATTACATATATAAAATCCATACAAATATAACATATTATTTAATCAAGTACACACTTGTTAAATTTAAAACAAATTATTTCAATTTACATCATTTGGGAAAATATACTGATATAATGATATAACATATGATCTGCTCCTTTTAGTAGTTAGTTCTTAGATGATGTGACCAAAATACTATTTTTAATTATGAAAACAATTATAAACAGTTAAGAATACATAAACAAAAATAATTCCATTAATTTAACAAGGCATTAAATTTTTTAGCTTCATTAAATTGATTCCAATTTTACAAAACAAAAGTAAGACTAGCACTTAAGAGGGGGTCTAAGAGTCATTCAGCTGTACACATCATGAATATCATAAAGCATACCAAAAAAGAGTCATTACTTTTATTAATGAATCTCTACCGTGCATCTGCAAGATAACATGCAGACATTTATGGTGTGGTATTCACGTTATATAGTCACATGTTATATTAGTTTCAATATCTTACCATATGATTCAATGGTTTGAGTAGTAGTACAATTTGCAGGAATGAAAAGTTCTTTGGGTGTTTTACAGTTTGATGATCGCAGGATTTGGTCACAAAAGCAGTTGATCACTATTATATTAATGCAAAATATTTTACGCAATAAAATATACTAAATATAACATTAAATCAATTTTGATATATTACTTCTTCTCCTTCTTTGGATGCTATTCCTGTAACAACTGTATCATCTTCATCTAATATAATAGCAGCAACACCAGCAAACATTTTCTTGAAATGCTTCTGTAGTCTGGGAATATTTTTACTGTTTCCAATAATTTCAAGTAAATCTTCATCACCCACAAAATAAAACCTAGGACGAAAAGAAAAACATTCATAATGCAATTCTACAATTAAAAAAATAAATAAATAAAATTCTGTTGTTGTTGTTTTAAAGTAATTTGAAAAAACATCAGAGAATAAAATTTTAATGCATAATTATTCATTCACACACATATACTTAGAACACAAATATTTCAACGTACAAAAATAATTCTCAGAAATTCATTTTTATCATTATATTTATCAATTTATTATCATTTATTATTCTTATATGGTTTGAAGCCTCATTAGAGTGTAATTATAATTTAATCCCATTTTAATTTTAGTTTTAGAGGGAATTAGAATTAATTTCACATCAACTGTATAACCAAAATTCTCTACTAGGCTTGAAAAAGAAAAGCAGAAAATTATCATATTAATAAATATATTTAAATTATTTAAACAAAATTTTAAAAACTTAACACTTTATTTTTTAGCATATGGTGATGCTATATTATTATCTATATTTTTAAATATTAGTTTTTGTTATACATGTGTATAATAGCTATGTCATACTGGAATGGAAGATATTTCTCAAGCATAAACATTTTCTGCTTCAAATGACTCTAGCAGAATCAGAAATAAGGCATTTTGTAATAAATTAAACTAGATGACAATATTTTAAAAAGTGTTTGTATCTTTAATATTTAGTTGATTTCCAAGACAAAGAAAGAACTCATGCCACTAACATATATAAAGAATTACAAATGGAATTATTCACAGTTCAGCCAGCCCAAGTCATGAGAGTTCAGCACCTTTACCAAAAAAAAAAAAAAAAAAAAAACTCTGAAAGCTTTCAGGTTTTACATTTTGCCCAAAGGAGGCTTTCTTTAACGTTATTTTTGCTATCTTTATTTATTAAATATCATGTTCTTTGCACTTAACCCATAAAATTCAATTCAACAGCAATATCACAAAATAATTTTAAAATGAGCATATCTTTAGAATTTCCTATACACAGTCTCGCGAACTGAACCCACATCCTGCTAATATCTGGCTCGAGTGATATGGACAACGGAAAGGCACAGGTCGTGTTCTCAGATGAGTCACACTTCTGTTTCTCCAATGATAGTTGACGCGTATGAGTGTGGCATGGATATGGAGACAGGTCCAATCCGGCAGCAATTATGGAATGCCCCAATGCATGACAACGTCGCACCATGGTTTGGAATGAAATTACATATGATTCCAGGTCACCTCTAGTTTGTATTCAGGGCACTATGAAGACCCAACGATATGTGGATGATACGCTGCGGCCGGTGACACTCCTCTACTTTCAGGGAATGCCCAATGTCCTTTATCAGCAGGATAATGCCCAACTATATGCTGCTCGGATTGGCCAACATGCCCTGCAAGCTGTACAGATGCTTCCCTGGCCACTATTCTCTCCTGATCTTTCACCAATCGAACAAATCTGGGATACGATTAGAGATTGGGCACCATTTGCAGGCCCTGCCATTGCCACATTCAGAAGATGAACTGTGGCAAATTGTTGACATGGAATGGAGAGCCATTCCCCAGGACACCATCCATAGTCTCACTGACTTTGTACCTAGACATGTTGCTTCGTGTATCACTGTCCAAGGTGGTCCTACAATATATTAAGCTGATGCTGTTCTCACTCTGTATTATGCTTATCATTTTGAAATAAAGATCATTTATTGTTCATTGTTTCATCTCTCTGTTTGCTGAGTTTCAATACATTCTGACCATTCCTTCTTGGTGCTGCATTTTCAATGTCGCATAGTGTATATAGACACTAGCTTCGAGAAAATTCAGGAAAGATTTGTTGCATCAAAGCATGATTTGTTGCATTATCTCGTTTCACTTACGTTATTTTATTGTTCATTGTTTCATCTCTCTGTTTGCTCTCTCTCTGCTGAGTTTCAACACATTCCGGCCATTCTTTCTTGGTGCTGCATTTTCAATGTCATGTAGTGTATATAGACACTAGCTTCCAGAAAATTCAGGAAAGATTTGTTGCATCTAAGCATGATTTGTTGCATTACCTCATTTTACTTATGTTATTTTTACATTCTGAATGTTACCCATTCTCAGACAAACAAAATCAACAATTTCATATTAGAAACAAACATACACATAACAAATGTGGCCACAAACACAAAACTAATGAACAAATAATATAATAATGCAGTACAAAAAATAATGTAAATATTTACAGATATAAACTTGCAACAAACAGATGCAACAATATTGATTGTATCTATTCACTCTCATAGTTATATAATGATAAAGGATTATTTATTCTATTCTATAATAAACCACCACTATTAAAAAATAATCTACTAACTGTAAGTAACTTGACATAAACAAAAGTATCCTTTACTTAAATTATTCTGTATTAACGATGAAAAATAGAATAAAATCATTATTTGTTTAGATTAAGAATACATTCAGAAAAATATAATAATATCAAATTAATTACCTGGGAAAGGAAGACCTTTCTCTTTCTAAGTACTCTCCCAAAGCCTTTTGGATCTTTCCTAACAAATCAGCCAGTCTTTCTAACGAACGCTGAACTCCAGGAATGTTCAAAACATCCATGACAAGAGGTGATTTGGTGACTTTTTTCATTAGAGTTAAAAATTCAGCACTGATACTTAAAAAAAAAATTAAAAAAAACACAAATTAAAGACAATATTTAAAAATCAAAAATTTACATTTTATTTCAGATCTAGCAAAATTACATGAAGATTCTGAAACACACTGTATCCAGCATGTTTCAAGGAATACGCTGCCTCCAAGGAACAGCATGTTTTTTGTGTCTAATTTGAGAATGAAGCAACATAGAAACAAGAAATTTACAGGATATGTTCACTAAACAGTTCCTTAATGAATGCGACATAGAATGTTTCTAAAGTTCATAACAAACATGAATTTAGGTGCATATTAATTTAATTTACTTTATTTAAATTACAATAATATTGAAATACTATTCCTAAGAGGTAATATTAAATTCTATATATTGAAAAGGCTAGATGGGAAATACATGAGTAAATACGGTGTATCTAAAATTTTTAACTCTATTTGCAATGCAAACATTTACTTTTTGTAATTTGTTCATATATAGTAGCTAAATTAATTAAAAAAAAAAAAAAAAGTTATCTTACAGTCAAGGAAGATAAGTTGAAATTATTCTGCACCACACACACATATACCTTTGAAATCGTGAAGTCTCAACAGGAAGGAGGGTCTGAATATCAGCACTACCAGAAAAAATGCCTTCCAAGTAAACCCAACGTCTCTGAACATCAATCCAGACATCAAATAAAGCATTGATGCGATTTAATTTTTCTTCCCATGCTAATGCATCTTCCTCAAACTCCTACACATAAAATGAATAAAATTATAAGTTTCAACACACAGTTCATTTTTTTTAAATGTTTTCAGTTAGTATTTTTATTTTTAATCAAAAACTTCAATCAATGAAGAAATAAATACACAACATACCTTATAATATGGGGATAACTTCATAGCAGCAACTGAATTTATGTGTTCCTTTACTTTTGTAAATAGATCATCCCACCCTTTAATTAAACGGCATTTGTTTTGATAACTGACAAGATCCAATTCATAATTTTGCCATGCTTCTCTCACCTAAATGAAATTAAATCTTTAATTGAATTGAATTGAATCTTATTTAAAAATAAACTTAATCAAACAGCATTATTTTACCCTTTAACAAAAAATATAATTTAAAATATTTTTTTTTAAAAAGAAAGAAAAGCAACACAAATTACACTTTACAAATTATTAATTTGGAAAAGAAGATAAGTAAAATCTAAACCTGCTTCAGAAATTCTTCCAAGGCCATTTCTCCTTGCGCTACTAATATGACGCCTTTGATAATGGATTCATTTCTCTGCAGATCTATATCCCATACTTGACCTAGTGTTAGATCAGAAAGCACCCAGTTCACTCTCAGCTGTTTCATCAGTTGTTTCCAGTGTCTTTCCTTTAGTGCATCAGATTTCAGTTCAACTATCAACATGTTAACCTACCAAAATTGATTTTTTTAAATTAAAATATATTCTAATGTAATTCTGTAAACACATATCCATAACATAGTAATTTATGCATTTAATTCCAAACACATAAAACTAGCAAAAAAATTAAAATACAAAATACAAAAAAAATTAAAATACAAAAAATAATATATAATAATTAAAATACAAAAAATTAATACAAAAAAAATTAAAATACCACAACAAGTTTAAAATTCATACTAAGGCAATTTATATGCAAGACGAAAATAGCATGGAAATACCAAAAATATTCTGAATTTTGAAAATTCCTTGATACATATGAACATTTAGAGAACTTTATGCCCTAGATAAAATTACATCATTGTACATTTTGACTGCATAAAATATGAAATTCTATAGGATGTCAAGGAAAATACCAGTAAAGCTCAGACCGGGGAATTCCCAATAGAGATCATTTATACACAAAAATGATGCATTATTACCGACAACATTCAACCACATGAAAGATTTTTGTCTAGCTTTACTTCAGAAATCACGCTGCAACGTGCAAACATAAATATAGAAGCCTGTAAATGTTTAGGGGTAACAATTCCAGCTTTTCTATCAAAGTAAATGGTTATATTCTCAAGTAAGTGTGCATCTAGTGCAGCATATAAAACCAATCCTCTGTTCATTCAATGCAAGCAAAATCCTCACATCACTAAAACAAAATTAAACATAATGCAAGCATGCGTAATACCATATCAACATTTTGGATCTTAATTTTTTAATGGATCTGGCATACAGAGACCTGACACTTATCCAGGCTTATTGGATTGAATTGAATTACAATAATTTTTGATAGCAATATCTTGGATGAACAAAAATTAATTTTTAAAAAGTAAAATAGTGCAATTTAAATGTAATCAAATACAAAGAAAGAAAGTATCAATCATTCTGAAAGATATATATCCCATTTCAGACAATATTTATTTTTAAGAATTAAATATATATCTTGTATGATAATTGGTAGTTAAAGGGAACTATATAGCACCCTTACTTTTAATCACTATCAAATAACAACTTAAATGCAATGGTATCCAAAGTTATTTATAATCACATTCAATAAAATAATCTATCTTAAAAAAAAAAAAAAAAAAAAAAAGAGAGAGAGAGAGAGAGAATGAGAAAAAAATATATACTCATTATTACCCAATCCAAATCACTCAGTCTGTTTCGAACATATAAATAATGGCATGATATCATTCAAGTGCCCTGCATAAAGTATTTTTACAAATTGTGCATATACAGCATGTTCACGAATACCATCAGCAGATTTTTTTTTTTATAATTGTAATCAGAAAAATCGAGGTGTGTAGCTTACTCGAAAAAAACAATATAGGCCAGGTAAATGCAAGTTGGCTGCTATAAATTATTTCTTTTTGAAGCTATGGTATGCCCAGAAGATATAACGTTATATGATACTACTATATCCTCTTAAATAATAAATCCTGGCCAGAGATTTGTAAGGTTGGTATACAGTTACTATCACCAAACTGTTATTCTCTGAATGGTTTACACCGAACTTGGATTTTTAGGCCTAACATTGTCAGCAGCACTAAAAAGAATGTACACGGAATGGATGGGCACTGTAAATCACACACAGACACTGACTGGTCGCATCAAGAAGCCTGAAATAATTCAAATCTGTGCATTGATAAAAGCCACCTGGGATGAAATTTCACAAGAACTTGTTGTTAAGAGCTTGAAAAAGTATGGAATGTCGAATAGCATGGGCGGTGTGGGATGATGAGGAAGATGAGAATATCGATATTTCATAAAGTATCAGCGATGACAGCAGTGCAGAAGGCTAGGAATATTGGCAATCTACATTAAGTTTCCAGACTAAAAAAATGAGAAGTGTCATGGTGTGGTAAGTTATCTGCCTTTGTTAGATTACCGGTAGATTTTAAAGGATCACTTGGGACTCTGCCTTTGTTAGATTGCCAGTAGATTTTAAAGGATCACGTTGGGACTTGTGGAAATTTCACTTGGGAATCCATACTTACGGTGATGATTGTTTCTGACTGTAGCTATAATGAATAAAATTGCACATATTTAAATTAGCAATTTTTTCTTTCTGTCGTTTCTGCTAACCGATTTATTCCTTTCCATTAAAATGATACTGGCATGTGTTGTTACACACTTAGGCAGGAGCTGCAAAAGCTGCAGGTGGTAGCTCAGATTCCTTTCCCAATAACTGTCGATCGGTATCATATTTTTTTGTTTCATAATGCTCATAATCCAGAAAAAAGATTTTTTCTGTAAATTAAGCTTTCAGGGCTTGATGAAAACATGCGCCCCATATTCGCGGAGATTTTTTTCTTTTTTGGTGCATCGAAAAAATCAGGTGAGCATCTTATTCGGTGACACATGGTACTCGTGAACATGCGATATGTAAATCATTTTAATCACATTATATGTAAATTCCAGTATCTTTCATATAATGCAACATGAAAGGCATCAAGAATGTGAAGCTCAGATGAAAAAATAAGGTTACAAGGATAAGTCCATTTAATACTAAGGTGGAAACAGTTTCAGTGACTTCATTTTTGTTGCCAAATTTGATGATAAGTCATCAAACTTGGCAATATTTTGGTTTTACACTTATGTAACTAATTGGTTTGATCCCTGTGTAACTAATTGTATCTGGCCCTATGTAACTGTGTGTATGCCTTCCAACAATTTCAAGAAATCAAAGGCACTGGAAATTTCTCGGCAGATGGGGCAAAGCTATGTAAGACTGGAAAAAGTTGAGTTCAGAGTTTAGCTCAGAGTATTGAAAGATAACAGTGAGAGCATGCACACTGAAGAGTTTTATACTGTCTTGTGTTTACATGTTCTTAGTAATTTAAAGTAGTAATTACTGATTGTGCTCTGTCATACTGAGAAAAGCTGCAGTGTACTTTGTGAGAAAAGTTCAAGAACAGTAAAATGTTTCTTTTGTAAAAATAAATTTTACCAAGATATCATCAGCTCCATATGCATTCAATCTATCATAAATGCGTATGCATACAATAATACATTTTCTTGCAAAGTTCTGAAATTCATTGTTTTATTACATTAAAACAGTTTTCTAAGGTATAAATTACCATTTGAAAGTATTGAATCTTTTATATTATAACAAATATTTACAAAAGACTTGAAGAAAAGGACCATTGTGCCATGTGTTTCACTTAGCACATAAGAAAACAGTTGGTTTAACATGATTCTGAACGCATTAATTACATCTGGAGAGAACTAAAAACAGAAAAATTTCCTGCCAGCATTTTGTCAGTGCAGATGTGAAACTTGAGAAGGAAAAATGATCAATGGATGTATTCCTTAACATGTGTTTGACAGAAGATTTGTGTCCAAGAATACATGCAAGATGGCACCTAACACCTACATAGGGTATTTTAGATAAGCTTTGGATTTCACAGATAATCACCCAAATTAAAATTAACCTTTTTACTGAGAGCCTTTAAAACCTTTTTACTTAAAGTCAGAAGTCTATTTTTCTTTCAGAGATACTCATTCTTCTTCCAAAATTCTCACAAATATTATTTCAATTTTATTTGTTTCAAAATACAGTTTGTTTTGCATACATTCATATTTGGTACTCAGTTTTGTACTAATAATTTATAATGCTACATGTAACCCCCAAATAAATTTGTTCAGTTTTATTAAACAGCTTTTGAAAAATCAATGTGCAGTCAATATTAATCATACCTTTGTAAAATTTTGTAGCGTCCTCTTGACATATTCATATGAAGCATATTGCCGTAATCTTGCAGGAAGCTCTTTAAGTTGGTTTAATAATCCATCAAGATGTTGTCTCAGCTAAAAATATGTGGAAAGACCAAGCTGATATGTGTATCTTATAACTCACACACATATATACAAATATAACAATAATTATGCATAAATATTCACCTTATACAGGCGTATTAATTACAGTAACTATTAGAGTAATACATTTAGCAATCACTTTGGCATTGCATATAATGACTGCAGTATAATAAGATAATTTTTTTACAGAACTAAATGTTAACCAGCTATAATTTTTCTAAACTCATATATTACAGAATTTTTTTTCCCAGAATAATATTTACAATTTATGCAATACAAAATCCTACACTTATTTATATCAAGTACAAAAAAGATCTATTGAAATGGACACACTTCATTAGTATTTTCATCATAAGTTATTACGATAAAATTATTATTATTTTCTTCAATTACAAAAGTTTACATAATTATTCAAAATCTTAAGATTCTATGTACCAAAATATCCCATAAACATAATCCTCTAAAAGTGCTTTCAAAATTAGTATTCATTAAATAATAAATTAAACTTTACTTTTCTTGGCTGCACTGATAGCCATGACTGTTCCTTCATTTGATCTATCTGATCCCATATTTTGGCAAGCTCTGACCAGACACCTTTCAAATCTTGTAATTCTTCTAATGCAACCTGAAGTCGTTCATCAGTTGCACTAAGGATACCTTTGTTTAAAATAAATAAATAATATTGATTTAAGAAATAAAAACATCCTAAACTTATACTGTGATAGAAGATACGATAATACATTTCAAATAACCTATTTCAGAGTAATTATTTCTTACACACTCATTTTTGCTACATTAACTAACAATCAAAAAGCTTCATACTTCACTAAATAATGTAATACACTTGGCCAATTTAAAAAGCTTTGAACAATTTTAGAACATCACAGATCCAAACCTGGTTCTTGCAGTTCCAGTGCTTCTTTAGCACGCATTACATTATCTCTATCTTCTTTCAGCCGACTGAATTTTGATTCAAAAATTGAAAGGTGACCCATTGCTTCTTGAGGTCGGAGAGAACCCTAAAAAAATTAAAAAGTTTTTTTTTTCTTACATTTTGACAAATATGAATTGGGTTACCTTATGAAACTTATAATTTTGCACAGAAATAATGGGTACTGTAATGTTTTACAAACTGTTGAAACAAAAATTTCTGCTCAAAACCACTAGGATTCTTTATTGCATAGTTTTTACCATTACTTTACTGACTCATGTGTCATCTTTCAATCACTACTCAATGTACTGTTGCAGTTAGGGTGCTTTCTTTAAGAATTACCTCTGAATTCCCCTACCCTTAAAACCATTAGCTCTAGTTACAATACTTCCTGAAAATTCAAATAACCATACGGCAATACTGCATGATTTCTACTTTCTACGTACCCCAAAGCATAATTTCTGTTTGGAAGATTATGTTATTAATTAGTCTGAAAATCAATAAACAGTAATAAACTAAACCATTTATAAGTAACAAATGTATTTCAAAAATATGATTTTTTTGAAAAGTCAACTAATTTCCGATCAATGACAATAATTACATGTTTTAATTTTTACTTTTACAATTGTAATATTATTCTTCGTGATGATTTAACTCCAGTCCCTGTTAAAACATTATTAACATTTTGCTTTCAAATTACTTCAAAACATCTTTCAAAATATAACTTACCAGTATGGATGCACACTTTTAAAATAATTCTACTTTAATTAAACTTAGGAGATAATATAATCAATTAATCAATACTGTTTAGGAAATAAATATATATATATATATATATATATATACATGTTGCAGTGTAAAATTTACAGTTCAGAAATTGGTTTCCATAACGCCCAACAGATGCAGTTTTCCCCATCTCTTCTTTCTTGAAGTGCATTATTTCCCCTAACTTTATTCAGACTTAAATTGTTGGATCTCAATTCACAATTCAAGGAGAAAAAAATTCCTCATGTCACTTCTCAGTTGTCACACTAGTTGGCACAATATATCTGCAATTGAGAATCACCTTTCAAGGATAGCAGATTAAAGTTTTAAAAGTGCTAAATTCAGAAAGGTGCAACTGGTTAAAATTTCAAAGCAAATAACAAAAAACAAACAAACAAACAAAAAAAAAAAAAAAAAAAAAAAAAAATTGGATTGAATCAAAAATAAAATCATCTTTAACTCTACATTTGTTTTCAGACATTAATACAGACATATGAGTTCAAGGAAACTTAAATATATATATATATATATATAGGAAATAGAAAATAAAATTTTATATTTAAAAAAAAATCAGCAACCATATTTATTCATTCTGTAAGAAAAGGATTAAGATTTTATGACGTGCACAAGTAAATATAAAATAATAAAGAAAATCTTGCCTACTAAATACTCCTTATACTTACTTCAACTGGTTTTGATTTTTCCCACTCAACTAGCACATCATTTGTACGAGCTTCAACAGCTTTATCTTCAGCCACTATCTTAACTTGCAAACTTGCTACTTGAACTTGTATTGCACAATCTTTTCGACGAATGATTTCATTAAATGCTGACCATTCTCCTTCCACATTATCAACATGGAGCCAAGAATTTGGAAACTGGAATCGTTGCCTCTCAAGAATTCTTTGACCTTCTTTGTACAGCTGTAAAGAAAGCAGAAATTTTCTTGAAAGTAAAGAAAAAAATAATCTACTGTAACATGTAAGAGAATTTTCATCCATGATAATGATCAGTTAAATAATTTTTAAAAATATTTACTTTATGAACATAACATAAAAAAATAACAAAAACATTAAGATTCAGATGGAAGTGAATTGCATACTCTTAGTATGTCTTAATGGTTCTAGAGTCACTGCATAGTTAGTTGTATTTTTGTTAATTGCCAAAAGAAGCAGAGTCCAAACTTAGAGGGAAGAGAGCAAAGTTTTCCAGCTAGTCTAGCTTCAAAATCATGGTTAGGTTATGCTATTTGGCTATAGCAAAGCACATGAGGGCTATCTGTCTAAGAGGATGCGCTTTCATGGAGGATTTTTTAAGGAGAACCAGCTTGTATTAATGTTAAACATGAAGAAAAGTTAAAAAAAAATCAAGTTGCAGTAAGAAGTTCATTAAAAAAACATTATACGAACTACTAAACAGCAATTTCCACCAAATGTATTCTCTTAAATAACAATGGCTTTAAAAGTATTTCCTAAGATTTTAGAGGAACTACAAACAAACAATTCTATTATTGCATTTTTGCAATATTTTATAACTTACATACAAATAAATATAGCTTCTTAAAAATAATAGGATTGTCTTAATTATTCACTACTAAGTTGAAGAAACTAATTTAATTAAGTCTGAATACTGTGAAGTGGGAATAACAGATACAGTCAAAAGTCTTTAATCCGGACTCGTCGGGACTTCGGCGATTCCGGATTATCGATTTTTCCGGATTATAGATCATCAGTTTAAATCTGGTAAGATGGCATGCAGAAATTATAAAATTAAAAATATGAAACCGTAATTTATAAAATAATGAGCAATTATGATCTAAAGGGTATCCAAATTTACCAAAAAAGAAGCCTAATATTTATTTGTTTACTTATTAAACATTTCTTTTAACGCGCGGATGCGTAACGCATACCTTACTCATAGCCGAAATTAAAAATTGCAACCAGAAAACTATGTGATTTGTATTCGTGATATTTATAATGACGAGGAATTTGATTTAAATCATATCAAAGACGGAGTACATCGAAATAATCGAATTAAATACTACATTTAGTAAGGAATTATAAGCCGACTAAAATAAAAACATCTGCCCTGAAGATAACGATAGTGTTGACAGATCAACTTCCAGTTCATTGCGCGCCGCGACGTGCCCCCCCCCCTGCGCAGAGCAGCGTGAAATTTGAAATTGATAAACAGATTTCGGAACGGTTAGATAAACAAAGGATATACTTTTATCCATTTTTTGTAGCAATTCGTTTTTTGTTTGATGGACATCGAAACATACTTTCGTTTTCTAGATCCTTTGGGAGCTCCAGCATCGGAAATTCTATTTGACATAATCGAAAGTTCAAGCTTACTTTTAGAAAATTGCTCTTACAGTCTGCAAAAAATAATAAGCCGGATCCAATTTGAAGATTAAGGAACAACGCAATTATCAACAATAACTGAAATAGATAATTAGATAATTTTAGCTTTTACCGTCCGTTATACATTAAACACGCACGCGAAAACGTATTCTGCACTTGCGCAGATGCATATGCCAGTCGTAAATGTCTTGCGCGCACGAGTAAAACGCCTATGCGCATGCGTCAATGCGGCGCATGCGCAGAAAGATTTTAGCTTTGAGGTCCGGATTATAGATCATTCCGGATTACGGGTGTCCGAATTAACGACTTTTGACTGTAATGGATAAAATATGCCCATATTTTTCTAACCATAGTTTCAAATTTTTATCTTTGATTTTACAGAAATGACATCTTTTGCAGAAATCTTTTCTTTCTTAAATACATAATTTAGAAATACAATTTGAGTTACGAAGAAACAATATGTTTCAAGATAACTGTTTAATAAAATACATCCAGAAAAACTGCTAAATTATTTTTAAAAAACTAAACAAGTTTTGAAAATTATCAGTGGTACATTTCAAGTTAAATATTTAATGGTTTCAATTTCCTAATAAAATAAAAAGAAAAGAACTGTTTAAAATTGCCTTTTATAGACAGTACAAAGTCCATAATCTGGATGTCCATTATCCGGAATGATCTATAATCTGGACCTCAAAGCCACAAACTTTTTTTTTTTGTATGCTTTATGTATGTACATTTAATGTATAACAGTATAAGCTAGGCTAAAATTATCTTTACTGATTCTAAGACATTTCAGTTAATGTTCCAGATTGCACTGTTTCTTAATCTTCTAATTAGATCCGGCTTATCACTTTTTGCAGATTGTTAGAGCAATTTTATAAACATTAAGCTTGAACTTTTGATTATGTCAAAAACAGTTTCCAATTCTGGAGCAGCCAAAGGATCTACAAAGAGAAAGCATGTTTCGATGTCCATCAAACAAAAAGTGGAATTGCTGCAAAAAATGGATAAAGGCATATCCGTCTCAGAATTATGAGAGGAGTATGACATTGGAGAGTCAACTGTATATGACACAATGCTCCAATCATCAATCAATTAATGGACGGCGAAATCTGTAGTATGGTTCTAGATCCAGAAAATATCGCTTCCGATAGTGAAGAAAGTGACAGACAGGTTATTGAAAATGAAAACATTTCGATTTACGAGTTAGTCGGTATTCTCGACACAGCAATTACAGGACTTGAACAGTGGAACTTTGTAACAGAACAAGAAATTATGTCTGTTTATAGAATTAAAGAGAAAGTATTAGCACAAAAAACGAAGCAACTTAAACAACTTACATTGAAAGAAATGTTTAATAAAGTAAACAAAAAAATATTAAGCTTTTTTTTTTTAAATTTTGATACCCTTTAGATAATACTTGCTCTTTATTTCATAAATTAAGGTTTCATATTTTTAATTATACATTTTCTACATGCCATCTTACCAGATTTAAATTGATGATCTTTAATCCGGAAAAAAGCCTGATCCGGAATCGCCGAAGTTCCGATGAGTCCGGATTACGGACTTTGCTGTATAGATTTTTTTTTTTTTTTTTTTTTTTTTTAAAGTTTGTTTTAATACTAAATTTATGAGATCACCTGCAGATAACTAGCAAAGAAAGGTTTTTAGTAAAACTGAATAAACAGCAATTTATAACAGCTAATTTAATATTTTAATAACATTCCAGCAATACATTTTAAGGGATGATTTATCCAAAATAATCGACATATAAGTGATCACACATGTAACATCAATGTGCTTTCTTTTTATTTTATTCACAATATCAGAAAATTAATTAGAACTTAAGTTATTTTGGATGACAAGTATTTTAAAACTGAAGAAAAATCAAAAATTGAGAAACATCATTTTATTCTGAGACTTTTTTAGTTATAATTAACATTATCTTGTAATTTTCAGGCAAGATAGAGGTCATTTATATAGATAAAAAGCAATTTTCATTGTGAGTTCTTGGTAAGCTAAACAAACATAATTTAATTATGTAAGTAATTTCTTAACGCTTTTAGGATGGGCGTCCCATATACGCATTCCCTAAGAACGTCTCTTACAGCCAGGCGTCTCATCCACGCATCAGTAAAGATTGCATTCAGAGGACGGGTGATGTGTATACGCACTTTAAGGTAAAACGTTTTTCTGAAGGCCACTAGATGGCATCCTGTGTCCATTACTTTTGAAATGAACACAATTTTAGGTTCCTGACCTTCAGTTTTGATATATTCTACTTGACTTTGGTATTTTACTCATCAGCTGTTCAAGGGTGGCAGGGCGGAGGGAAAGCGTAAACAGAGGTGGGCTCTTTAAATCGCTGCATGCTAATGAAAACATTCTCGTATCTGTTTTATATCCAATTCCTTTTTTTATTCTATTTTTTCCTCTACTATGTACGGTCTTTTAGGGTTACTGTGCGGAGTTTTTTTTACGTTTTACATTGCCTTCAGATATATTTCCGTTACTTCTTTTTTTATTTAGGAAAGCCTCACCTCCAGTCTATTATGGTGGGAAGACGCTTTTTATCAGAGGAAGAATACCCTAGTATGGTTAGTGAACCATTTACTAATGCAAATGAGAGTGCTGATTCAATTTCTAAAGAAATAAAAAGTGATACTTTTTCTAAGAATTACAAAGTGATACTCTGTGCTTCGAGATTTACCACACTCGTTTTCATTTTAAATTTTGTTACTTCTTACTGTAAATAGTCTTTATTGTGTTCTCTTTATTAATTTTAAACTTTATTGATGGATTTTATCAATTAAAACTTTGGAATAATTTGAATAGCGCTTCCGAAAATTATTTTAGAAGATAAGCAATTTTTTAAGTATATTTTCATGTAAAATAAAGAAAAAAATGTTTTAAGGGCTAATTTTAACATATATAAGAGCTCAAGTAATGATCTAAAATGATACCAAAAGTTACGATGCTAGAAGCCAAACTTTTGTTTTTCTGATTTTTGTTATAAATTTAGGCTTAGCAATGCAAAACCTCCGTCCTGTACGGTGACAGCCTTCGAATCTCTTCCGTCCTGCACGAGCATCTTAAACAAAGGTGCGCCGTCGCCAAAAGGTTAACAATATTTGAAGACATCAAAGCAAAATCTCAAGAAATCAAAGGCTCTATTTAAATCAAAATCTCAAGGAATAAAGCTGTTTCATGAATAGATTTTTAACACACCTTCCCACATTATTACACTTTACAGACTTATTTATATTGTTTTCTTTTAAATTATAGTTATTATTTATGACAAAGCACTTGAGGGCTATCTGCCTAAGAGAAGTGATGCCGTTGTGGAGGACTTTCTAAGAAAAAATGGCTTGTATACATATCACACGAGGAAAATCATGAAAACTCTCATGCAGTCAGCCTTTTCACCAGGAAGCAAACCCTGGACCGAATTATCAGCATTTAGCAACTTTACCAGTTGGCCTCTGATTTCAATGCAGGTTGTTTAACCCAACTCATATTATTTTCTTATTCTATCTGCATTCAAATACACAATGCCACAAAAATCTATTGCTACATTTTTTAGAGAAGAAGCTGTGATTTTCAAAATGATATTGTACTACAGCATTTATGCATTATATAAAATAATGACTATCATACAATTTAAACAATAAATGCATGGATAGTAATGGAGACAAAATTTAAAATAGGCTACAGGTTAATTTTCTCTCTCCCCTCCATATACATATATAAAAAATAAGTGAATTTCATACCTCAACTTTTTTATCCCAAACTTTCATCTTCTTTTTTAAAGACTGCACATAAGTGATAAATGTAACAGCATCTGATGTGGAATCTGTTTCAATAGACTGTTGTTCCAAATCACTTCGTGACTACAAAGGAAAATATATACACATAATACAAATATTTCTAATTAAAAACTTTAATTACATAACAGAAAAGTTTAAACTATTTTACACAACTTACTTTTGAAATAGTTGTATGAAAAGCAGCCATTTCATTACCCAAAAGAGATCCAAATTTCCCAAGAACATCTTTATGCCAAGAATCATACTTCAATGATACTTTTGATTGAACCTAAAAGGGAAAAAAATATTGCAACAAAAATACATAAATAAATAAATAACTTTAAGAAAGAAAATGAAAATTTAAAAAAATAATAAATTTTTCTGCTTAACATATTTATTTAGATAAAACCTACAGTTAATTTTCGAGTTGTGAGATGCTGGGAACAGAGAAAATAAAAATCAATCATAATTAACAAAAGCACATACTGGGCTTGAATAATCTACTAGAAGTTGACTTTTTTCCCTAAATTTAATATTTAAAAAAATTAACCTCCTTCCAAATGCCATACGTACTTAATGCTGCACATTATGGCATGAGAGTAAGACGTTCATTTTCCACTGGTAATTTGTTCACAAGCAATGGATTTTTTTAAAAAAAAATTGGGAAAATTTTTGTGATAGAGTAATGATGACATTTTTTAATACCTTTAATTACTAAAACTAGCAAGAACAAACAAAATAATTTTTTTCAGTACAAGTAAATATAATGCTATTTTGATTTAGATATTGATCATATTTAACATTTTTAACAATGGTGGTGCTTCCTTCTTATAAAAAAAAAAAAAAAAAAAAAAAAAAAAGAAGGAAAAGAGCTTAGGCAATGCTGCTCATTGCTCTTCTGCTATTTCAACATTTAAAACAAAGATTTTAAATGGTTATTCCCATGCAAGGTAAATAGTAAATAAGTAGATAAGATCCCAAACTGCCACCAAATATATAGTATTAGTAAAAGATCCCATCTCTAAGTTCAGGGGATTGGTTAAATCATTAAGACATCCCAAGTGAATGAAGAGCCGATCCCTCAACCACCAAACGCAAACTGTTGATCAAATAAGGGTGTGATGGCGAGTCTGAAAAATAAATTAATTGTTCATCATATAATAAACTTTAAAAGTAAAAAAAAAAAAAAAAAAAAAAAACCTGAAAATATTTTAATTGTTGGTTTGAATTCCAGAAATTTTTAATTCAAATATAATACATCAAAAAAAGAAAAAAAATTAACCATCCAACCAACAGAAGGTTTCACTAACAAACACCAAATTTCCCAAAACTGCAATGAGAAATAGGTATAGTCTTGATTTTAATACCACAGTGCCTTAGCTACTTTTTACCTGGATTTATGTACTTTTGATTTGCTTTTTTTTTTTTTTTTTTTCCAGCTGAGGATGGTGGTTCGGTAAAACCATCAAAACTAGTCCTGTGAAAATTTGAAAATATAAACACTGATTTATGTTGTTTAACTTCTGAATTAGTATTTGTTCGGCGTGTTACTGTGTCTTAGTAATGCAATTACTTTTAGAATACTAATAATATTATACTGAATATCAATGGAAAAACATTTCAATTTTTGTGCATAATATATCACATAAATCACAGTATGAACTGCTTATGGAATAAATTTAATGCCATTCTCCTCAAAGAAGTTCTTAAGAATGCATTTATTTAAAATATTTTTCCTAATAACACAGGCTAAAAAAAAGTTTTCTCTTAAACTGTTCACTATTACACACAATACAAGAAATATATAAAACTTTTAGATGAGATTTTTAACTTACTTTTGCATACTCTATGATTATTGGTCCAATTTCCTTGCGCACATCAGTTGTGTCAAACGTTGTTCTGGACTTTCTAACAAAATACAAACATATTTAATCATATACTGGCATACGTTACTTACACAGACAACTTACGAGAAACTATGAAATAAATAACATACTTAATTTCAACCAGAGTATTCATCCAACGACTGATATTTTCACCAAGCTTTGAGTACACAGCTTCTGGCTGAAGATCCCATAATGCTTGATAACGAAGCCATTCTTTAACATAAGTGTCCATTTGTTGAATTTTATCTTCAATAGCATGATAAGCCGATTCTAAAGTGGCTGCACCATCGGGCATTTTCACTAGCAAATTTCGATAAGTTTCAGAAACAGGACGATCAAGTCCAACCTAATGATAAATAGAAAATTTACATGTCTTCAAAAAAATTCCTATATCATTAAAAATCTCAATAAAAGTTTGTGATCTCCCAAATGAGATACTTTTTTTTAAATAGTTTTATATACCATGACCATTAATATAATCACATATATTTTATTTTTATAGACTTAGTATAAAACTCAGTTTAACTTTCTTTCTTTGAGGTAACGTAAGTATTTTTTATCCTTTTAATGGAACAGTCTTTTCATATTTTATTCAACAAAAGCCAATCTAAAGTAACAAATAAATTTTTATATATTTTCACATTTCAAGTGTTTCTACAGTTAGATAGCTTTTAACTTATAACAGTGTACAATATGAAATAGAATTGCTAAATAATTCTTTTCACAATTACAAAAACTTAAGCTTTTATTTCATCTAAAAAACCAAAATATTTATGAGAATTTGAAAATATTAATATATTTTTCTTTAAAATCAATATGTAAAACACAAAAATCAAACTATGACCAGGAAAAAAATCATTTTTAGGTATACCTGAAATGTATATCTTTTTTAATGCAAGTCAGATAAAAGGGACATAATCTTATTTAACACTAAAGGCAATAAAATTCCATGCTCCAGATACCTTTCACAATATTAATCGACCAAATTTTTATCTATACTATGGTGCATTTCTTTTGATCTTAACTGCACAATTAAATAACATAATATACATAAAATTAAGAACATTTACAGTAGAAAAAAAAAATTCAATATAATTACTGAGAAATACATTTTTAATAAAAAGTCGTTAGATAACATGCTTCTAAAAACATACTTTATAACAGCATATGTATATATTACATGAAAACATAGGCTGTAAAAACAATACTTCTTTCAGGTCAAAAAGAGAACAAAGGTTTCATTAGTAACCATATAGCAGCAGCATAAAACTACATTCATTTAAAAATAATTTTAATAATAATACAATTTTCACAAAAACTGCATGAGACATATTACACTGTTCCTTTACTATAGCGATACCAATGCAATAAAGCAGTGTAAAACACCAACCATCCTTGATGGACATTTTACAGGGTGACAGCATTAACAAAGCAATTTATTATGTCTTTATTGTGGCCATAAAACATCATTATTATAGATTGCGCCTATGCATGCATGCATGTCCATCTAGCGACAGCTTATAGGCAGCAAGTCCATTATTTGGAAAGAAAGCAGAACAGAATCGACAAAAAATCTGCTGTGAAAGTATTTAAACATTATTGAGTAATGTTTTGGATAAACTGTAACATATTCCTTCTTGTTACATGAAGTTGTTCAATCTTATGTAAGATATTGTGCAACAGAAAAAGAAACTGCAAAAATTCTGAAGCTTTCATTTCATATGGGTAATTACATTATATATGTTGATTCTGAAGAACTCAGTATTTTCACGACATCGTTAATAATAAAGCTAAATTTGAGTTGAGATGCTAGGAACATACTCAGTTACATGAAGAATGTACACAAAATCCAGATCCCACCAAAGTGTTAGGTCTGCTATGGGACAAACAAGAAGATTCTTTCTTGCGATGTGAGTATGAGCTTGGAAGATCTTCATGTAAGACATAGATACCTTTTATCTTAGAGTATTAAATCCTACTGGATTTCGTTGTCCCTTGATACCTCTTTCAAAGCTGTTGGTACAAAGCTGGGAATCTAAATTAAGTTAGGATGCTAAACATCCAAAACATTTTTTTAAAAAAATTTAAAACGGTTTGAAGAATTAGCTTTATTAGAATCAGTAAAAATTCCCAGAAAGATAACATTGAATAGTAGCCTCACAGAGAGTTTGCGTTTTTTTTTTTCCCTTCAAAAAAATCATATGTGACTTAGTTTATTTATGATGTGAAAATGAGAATAATGTTAAGGTACAACTACTTCAAACAAAATCCAAAATTACTCCATTAAACAATTGATTTGAATTACTACCTTGCCTTAATGGAGATAGATTAGCCTCTTTTGTTAAGAAGAATCTAGGGATTGAAATTGAGAAAGACTACTCGACTGATTCATCGACTGTCAAAAGAAATTCGAGATTTAACCAGAACTGAAGGTTGGTGTCATGTTCCCAGTGTAAGAAATCCTGCCAGTTTGCCCTCCAGGAGGTGTTCTACAGCTATACTAACAGAATGAAGGTAGTGGGAAGGACCATAATGGATAAGAAGGCCAAAAAATGCATGGCCCCAGTCCAATCCAGACCAAGAAAAAGTTGTTTCACTTGATGCTGCAGATGAAGAATTAGATGCAGGAAAAAGGAAAGCTGTACTGACATTAAATTGGAAAAAAAAAAAAAAAAAAAAAAAATACAAACTTCCAGATGTTCTTAAATTTTCAAGTTATATATATGAAAATTTTAAGAATGGTAACTTGGAAATTAGGATTTATTAGAAATGCACGAATGAAAGATAAAGAACATGAAAAGGGAGAATTAAAAGTTTGCAAAAATATCAACAGTGGAGAAAGTTACAGTAAAATTAGTGCAGTAAGAGTCTTATAACTTTGGAGGTATAAAAATTTTTTAATAAAGTTATGTATTCAAAGACCAAGAAAATATTTCGTGAGTTCAAACTAAACTGACCACAAGAAAGAAGCAGGAAAATTTTGTTTACCTTATATTACTTCCAAGTAAAAGTAAGCATAAACTCATTGAATAAGCTACACCTGAGTTTTAGCTCATGCTGGATTACATGCACAGATGTCAAAGTTGAGGGAAAACTTTTGGATAATGAAGAGTTGGAAAATAATCTACAAAACATGATCTCAATGCATCAGATGCAAAAGAACGTGCAACTAAATGAATACAGTATACCAGCTACACTATCAGAAAATAGAGTTTGAGACAGTCTCATGTTTGAGGTGATAGAAATTGATCTCGAATGACTTCTTACAATAAAAATCAAGAAAAAGCCATAAGTAATTCTATTTACTTGTGCAGTATACAGGGGTATCCATCTAAAATTGATAAAATCTCTGACAACCCAATTTTTTGTTTGCTTAGACCCTGTAATCCTCTGACAGGAAGGCAGCTGAAGTGCAGACACCTATGAGAAGAATTTAGTGGATTTTTAAACACCCTGCAGCCGCTTATCGGGAAGAATGATTCAGATGGTTAAAAAACTTCTCAGCAGAGTATTAAGATTTTCATCATTGGATTATGAAGGACTTTGCAAGGAGTGAAGCTACAATGAACTCGGGCCACTTACATATGCATCTGATAATTCAAATGAGCTTCTTTCCTTGACACAATGTTTACAGGCAAGATTTTTTAAGTGGATGTGCCAGATTAAAATCATCTTCATGGGATGAATCTTACTAAAAGATTAGGTATCAACAAAAATAAAGAGATGCTTTAAAGGAAAGATTAATGAGTATCTCAGCTAACTTTTACAAAGGTTGGTAGAAAAATATCAAAACATAGAAATCGGTCATGTAGTATTCGTTGAGAATGAAAATAAAGAACATCTGAAAGACACTTCCCTCCACTGAAAGATGGTGAAATGAGAGGCGTGCACATCAAAATAACTTCTGGTGAAATAACTCAGCATACCCAGAAAAGTTTCCCACTAAAAATTGTTCCAATTGAATCAATAAATGATGAACTTACAAAAAATTAAAGTACTCTTGAAAAGGTTAGCATCAGACTTTCTGAAAAATAAAATTGTTATAAAATTGTTGTAAGAGTGGAAGATGAATTATAACTCTTGTCAGACAATTGAACTGAAGAACTCTTTTTAACTGTGACTTTGAACTCAAACGGAAGAATTCTTTTTAACTGTGACTTTGAACTCGAACTAAAGAACTCTTTTTAACCGCGACTTTAAACTCATTTTACTCTTAGTTTTGATTAGAAGACCATGAAAAGGTGGGGAGAAAGTTATATTTTACAATGTTAACTGATGTTTAGATATTAAAGGTTAGATAGGATTAGATAGGTTTAAAAATATGGAAAAGCTGGATTCATCACTGGATAACATGGATGTAAGAATTAAATACCTTCTTACAACACTTAAAATAAATAATACTACAAAGTTGAAAGATGGTTGTATACCAGAGAAATAATGAAACTTTCAGTATCATAAAACTCCCTGAAATTCCATTGCCAATATTCAAAGGAAATTATGAAGTCTTTAATACCTTTAAATATCAGTTTATTTGGACTAAAAATCAGTTTATTTCTTTAACTTTAATTTCCATCTACCTCAACTGCAAACATTCTGCAGAAGTATTAGGAGCCACTTTCCTTAGCTAACAAAGATAATTAAAACCAGTTTGCTGCCTAGGATATCATTAATCACTGAAAAGGCACTTGGTGAAAAAGTAAAATTAATCCTAGACTGACGAAGTAGTTGTAATTTATTAAATGCTGAAGATGAAGCAGAAAATAAATACCAACATAATTAGAATAAGTGAAGAAAAATATTTTGTCAAAAACAAAACTGGAAAAATCTCAAATGAAGATGGTGATTATTGCAAGATATCTTTGCATCTTTTTTTATTTTGCTTTGGATTACAGGGCTCAAGCCTACCAATAAAATTCATATTTCTGAAATAGATTTCCTGAAGAAAATTAAATTACAAATCCTACTTTGCACATACATAAAAAAAAATTCATACAATATTTATTTTCAAATAATTATAGGCAGAAAGATTCAGGTATTTTGATGACATGCTGTTGTTGCAAAGCATTGTTTTTGGTTATTTAATGACAAGTCTAATCAAAAATTCAGATTCTTATAATTTTTCTGGGTTAATTTCAGAAGGTGATAATTTAGATATGTCTGTCAGACAATTCTTCTTATTAGAAGCCTATCCTGATGATCACACTAAAAATTCAAGTGAAACCAAAACTTTTAAAAAGCAATACTGTGAGGAACATTTCATATCTAATTCAAGAGAAATATAAATGTGAGATATATTGTACGGTTACCAATAATTGAAGTTAAATGGTCAGCATTAGGGGTGTCAAG